TGAAGCAAACCTCTAAAAGCACACATAAAATAGTTCAACTTAAAAATATACTTTACCTTACACCTTTTCCTTCATGTCGGCTTGTGAGAGTCACATCAACTGTTTGTATCTAGAAAGAAACCCAACAGCTGGAGCAGAATAAAAATAGCTACAAATTTCATGTGTCAGCCTTTGTTCTCTGTGCCCAGGCCAGTCCTCCTGCACACACCTGTGGTCATGGCTGAGCTGAGAGGAGCTCAGTCAGAGAATCTGAAAAGTGGATGTGCTGGTTTAGGGCTAGGGAAACATTTCATTTCTGTGCTGTTGGAACAAAGGAAGACAGAGCAGAGGATCACACATGTCCTCATTTGGCCTTCTCTCTACCTGTTCTGTTTCACAGCTCTAAACATGGTGTCAGTGAACACTGTGTGATTCCCCCTTGGATCAAGACCTTTGGTGGCTGTAGACAACAATACAGAACAGAAAACAAAACATTTGTAGGTGCTGCTGGGGCACAGGGACATGGATCCTCCCAGCCACAGACTCATCTGTACCCTGGAGAAGAATTACTCCCACATAGGAGTTGTGCTCAAACCTACTAATCCATACACAGCTTCAGAGCTGTGCCATCTCTGCTTGTTTCCACTTCCAGAGATGAAAGAAAACTGGCCACTGATTTTTGATCACTACTTTAGGAAGTCCAGAAGTGATTAACAGACTTGCAACAGCATTACAGTGATAGCAGCTATCTTCATTAAAACCTAATACCACAGAGAGAAATCCTCTACACATATTCAGGTAGAAAACCTCCAAAGAAATGATTCAACACGTAAGATGCCAAGTGATCCAAGCACCAAACCACTGGCAGACTTGAGAACACAGGTGTTAAATTCCCAATTCCTACCTCCAAGTAGGCACTTTCACAGAACATGTGCATTTGCCCCTATTTCCCATGACTGTGTCATTCTAGATCCTCCTGCTGCTCCAAGGGAGGACCCGAGGAGTCTTTTCACATCTCGGTTCCTTACCTTCACACTTGTACTGCCTGTGTAGTGCCTGTTCCTTTGTACATCATTGTCCATCCACTGAGGAGAGATATTATAAAGAAATTTGGTATCATTATTAAAATTATGTTTATGGATGACTTGAAATTGTTCATTCCAGGAATACCACATAGCTTTAAAAATAAATATTTTGCAGAGAGATAGAACAACTGGTAAAGATATATCATGGCTGCTTTGTGCTGTGATGACAGCCTTTGCTATGGGTAATGACTAATTAATATCAATAATAATGCTAAGTTTGGAGAATGCTTCAGCACTGAGTCAGCACTCAGGTAAGGCAATGTTTTATTGCAGCCCATTAAAGGGGAAAAAAAAGTAATAAAAGGCTTGAGAACCATCACAGATCCTGACTACATAAAGCTAATAAACAGTATGATAAACTATCATTTACATGAATAAGAAAAGGAATGGACATTTCATTTCCTATGCCTTTGTTGCTCCTATTCAGTTGCACTGATGGGGCTATTTGGGGAAGCCCCACAGAGCCTGTTTACAAGAGAATTGCAAAACAAAGACAGTCATGGTCAAAACTTTGCTGGTCAATTCAGTATATTTACATGGAAGAGCTGGGAAAAACACAAGTATTCTGAAATAGCCTCATGGGATAGTTCAGTTTGAAGTGGTTTTTAGCAGGGAAGGTTCTCATGGCTATCTAGATGTGTGGTGGCCACAGAAAAAGCATCCGGTTTTCAGAGGCTTGATCAAACTTTCTTCATCCAGGCAAAATACCATTGCACAACTCCCTGAGCAAAATGGCAACTGCCAAAGTCTTCTGTGTGCAGGGAACAGTATTGTACAAGTCTGGTCCCTGAGAAATCAGGCACAAGCTCTTTGCTTTCCATAAATTTGGAATATGCACCTTGCCAACACCTGACAATACACTGCAGATGCACATACACCATCTGAGAAGCTCCCAGAAATGACCCCATTTTCCCTTTTTCTTTTAATTAACAGAATGGAATTTCTCTGGATTTACAACGAGTGAACCTAAAAGCACAGTTGGAACCACTGTTTTTAAGAAGACCTTGCTATGCCATAACTTTTCACAGTTCAGTTGCTAAATTACACATTATAAAAATAAGTAAGTGCAATTGAGAGACTGTGTTAATCTCAGAAGTTTAAACACTGCTCTGTAATGACTGCTTTATAGTGGCCCATAGTAAAGTGCTTTATGGGGCGTGCAGGAGATTTGTCCGCACGCGTCCGTTAAACACTCCTGGGAATTTTCTCACACAGAGATGAGGCCTGACACAAAACTAAACATGGACAAAACACTGCCTCATTCACATGGCACCAGGAATGCCACCCAGTAAGAAAACACTTTACAACACCTAAGAGAGATAAGAACCACCAGCCAGCATAGGAATAAAATGTTGCTTTTGGAAAAGCAGAATTTCCTAACCTGACAATCCATGCAGATTCTGGAAGTATGACAAAAGTACAGCTGCCTCCTTGCAAGGAAATGAGAGCTTAGGCATTGACTATAAAGAGATGATAAAGAAGCATGGGTGGTTTGTAGAGTAGTTTACTAAAGCCAAAAGTATTTAGAGTCAAATTAGATTCTTGCACATAAAAATTCAGTGGAACTTAGGGTGAGTTCACACATGATTACTTGCTTGGGCAGTCTGCAGCTGACAGACTGCACCCAACTGCTCTTTCTCTCTGGCGAAACAGGATCCATCCAGGTTGATTCAGATCCCAGGTGAAAAGACTTTTTAGTAAATTAAAGCTGATGATAACAAAGTTGCAGACATGGTACCAGAGCTGTATTTTCAGTTTATTTTTTTAATAATCATGCTTCAGAATAGTGCCACAGCTAAGCAAGATGAGCCAGTCAGGGGTTCTCAAGAGACAAAACTTGATGCCACACTAGACAAATATAAGCACACCCAGCAAGGCACTGCATGAAGATCTTTGTGCAAAAGGATCACCTCCCTCAGCCCTAAAACACTAACAAACAGTGAACTGAATTCTCAGTCCTTCAGTGTTACCATTATTAGAGTATCATTCACCCACTTGTCTGCAAACTGCCTTCTTCTCCCACCAACTGCTCCATCTCACAACAATACCTCATTTCTGGCTCAGAAGACCAACAAAAAGCTCTCTCCTGAGCTTTGGCAGTGTCCCCATGATCACTTGGCAGGAGGCAGCATGACAATGATTTGACAGGCATCCCCCCAAGGAGACTCCACACATCAGTCATGCTGCTGACACGCTCCACACTTGGAGGAGCTCACCCACACCAGGGGAGGTTTCTAGGTGCAGGCAGCTGCTCTTAAGTGACCATCCTAAAGCAGCAGGTTTTCCTGTTTCACTAACAGCAGAACCACGAAGCACCTACTTCCTGTGATGGTGCTGGTGATACTGCCATGCTGGTTTGTGCCAAGTCTGCTTGAGTAAAGCAAAGCAGCAGGTAACGAGTGGAGAGGACTGAAGTCCTACTTCCAGTCCAAGGAGAAATCTACTAAAAGGAAACAGCACTGCAAAAACAATTGCAAGTTATCTTTTTATGATTATCTTTTTATGATGTGCAAAAAGTCTTTCCAACAAAATATGATTAATTTCTCCTCTGATTTTGTTTTTTTAAAGGAAATTGAAGAACCACAATATTTTCAGAGGATGAGCTATTGTTGGATACCACCAAAAATAGCCAACACTTACTGTGCAGAAAAACACAAATTATCCTGATCTGACTACTCTGACTGAATGACTGAACACTGACCCTCATCAACTGTTGTTTAAAGGATGGTCAAGATCAATAGCTTAAATGAAGGAAGAAACACAAATCTTCTTTTCGTACATGAGAAAAGCAGGGATTTGCAAATCTCCATGAAACAATCTTAAATCTCCTGAATGACAGTCCCAAGCTCTGACCAGTGACTCATTTCTGAAGCTCGGCACACTGGAATGCTCTGACAGATGCAGGCAATGGGAAATTGCCTTTGATTGGGGCTTCTGCCATCTTTACAGTATGGACAAGATTCCTGGCAGTTTAACTGCTCCTGAAGATAATAAATCCCTTGTGAGACAGGAAGGCTGAACAATCACATACTTCAACAGTATCTCAATCTGTTTAGTTCCAAAAACAACTTCCAGCGCAGGTGATAGCAAGCACATGATAAGCAAAGTTCCAGGAGGAACTCTGTTGAAAAACCAGAATTATGGGAAACACACTGAACTGCTCATTTTATGGACATAGCTCTATTCCAGCACTCAGGCAGTAAAACTAAAATGAACTCCCTCAAAGTTAAAAATGCCCAGTAAAACTCAATAGGCAAGGTAATTATTTTGACTCGAAAGAGGGAGAGGACGGGTTATTCATCCCTACAGAGAATATCTCACCTTGCTGACATTGAATGGAAAGACATCTTTCAGTTAATCTGGGTTTTTTCCCAAAGCTACATTTTCTGTGCTATGGATTGCTAACGCTGGCCAAGCCTGTACCACTCTGGGCAAAATAAAAAACTTAAACACCACAAGAAATGTAGTAGCACATGCCCAAACAGCCTCTCCCGTGGTGTCACAGCTCCCCCCACAGGAGCAGGCTGCTCGGCCACTTCACGTTCCCAGGACTGAACCTCTGCCCAAATCCTACTTATTAATGCAGGTTCCTCAGGACCTCAGCTGTGACATCTGCTGGATCAATACTTGTCCTATGTGTAGGGATAGAATGAGTCAGGATGGTGCCCATGGGATAAAGGCAATTTCTCTCTTTCCACCTTTTTCTGAGGAAAATGGAAGCAAACACCAGTCAGCAACTGAAGGTGTTAGCTCCAACATTAGAGAATAATTCCATGATAGATGAACACCTGCATGACTGAGAATCTATATTGTGATCAAGGTGACATTTGCAACTTCAGCTGCCTTTGTCCTTTCTCCCACCCCCTGGGTAAGGACCCACCTACTCTCATCCAACATAACACAGCTCTGGCACAAAAGCAAAACTGAGAACTCCAGTAGGAACATAAAGGATGTATTTATTGTCAAACAGTAGAGCATCAAAATAAGCAGGAAAATGTCATAGTAACCAACAAAATACAGGGGAATACCTTGTGAATTCAACAGATTTCAGTTTCTGGCATCTTCAGAAAGGGATTTTTTTTATTTGGCTGACAGGAAACCACAAAGCACAACTCTCCTATAATTGGAGCAATCAGACACATACGGGGATAATATAGGCAAAAAAAAAATGGTTGTAAACAGATCTGTATTTCTAAGCATTTCATACTTTTATTCTTCATTATTTGAGGGTTTGGGCTCTATTTTTTTCCTTATCCTAGCAGTCACAAGATTTTTAGGTCTTGGTACTATAGGGACCTGTTCCCAGATGTTTATTATCTGCGCTGGCAATAGTGTTCCACTGAGAGGATAAACAATTCACTTAAAGTTTGATGTTACAGACAAATTACTTCTGTTTCTCATAATTACTCAAATTGGGGAAGCAAGTTTTTTCATGAAACAAATTATGAAATTGCTTGTTTGTTTAGTATTAGTCAAGCATACTCTTATTTTAGAATTATGAAAATTACTGTTTTCTTCATTATAACTAGTCAATCCGTAAGATACAAAGCTTGAAGTTAACAAGTACAGCTCTTTGAAGAAAATTAAAAAGCCCCACATCCCCAAAAAGAATTTAGTTACTTCATAAAAGGCAATAGCGTAGGATTAACCCATTGCCTGTGGAAGAGCACTCTTGTGAAATTCTTCAACAGAACACATGAAAGTTTGAGAAAAATGACAGAAATTTGCATACCTTTAAGAGCAGAAGAACACAGAAACACTCTTAAGGTGAGCTGTTCCAACTAAGCACCTTTATTGCAAACATATGTTGGAAGACAACCTTAGTCCTTGACTAAAATACATCTTCATGTTATTTATAGTCACTGAGCTTTTTGCCACCAAGATGGGAAAGGTATTTGAGTATTGAGGTATTAAAGGTATTGAATGTACCTTCAAATGAGTCCTTCAAATTATATTCTGACAAAATACATCAGACTTAAGTGAATCATCTTCAAGAACAACCTTAGCTGGGTGATTTAATTAGCAATTAAAATTCCAAAGTTGCTAATATGCCTCCAGTAATTGTTTTCTACATTATATCCAAGTACCTCCCTTCATTTAGAGTTTATGCTAAAAAACTGGAACACAACCCTTGGCTTCACAAAGCACAGGCCAGGGGGATTTAATTTGATAATCCACACTGCTGCAAATGATTTTGTTTACAGAGCCAAACCAAGAAAAACATGGACAAGAGCAATAAGTCACACCCACTCAGAATATTCTTTTTTTTTTTCTTATCACCCAATGCCATAAATTTATTGTGTAATTGTACATTCACTTTGTCAGTAGAGGAGGTACTAGAACCACTACATCCTGGTTAAGTGTAAGGTTATTTATCCTATGAGGACACAAGTAGTTAAGACAAATGCATTTACTTTAGATAGTATTGGTTATATAGTCAAAGGACACACCAAAAATGACAATACACAGCTGTAACTTGGAATGTGTGAGATGGTTTCCACCAAGCTCTCACTGCCGATGCTCTTACTGAGAGATGTGATATTGTAGTTTAGGTTTATTAGGATTGTGTTCAACCAGCCAGTCAGCAAGCCAAATCTGTGAACAAAAAACCCAAAACCCAAATGTTTTCAGCTTTCTGTTGCTTTCAATTATGTGCATAGGAGAATATTAAAAACATTATTTGAAACCTCTGCTCCAGATATTCTACTATGCTGCAAAATTAAGACCTTTCAGAAAAAATGAACATGCAAATGACCTGTTTTTTAAAAATATTCTTTTAAATCTTCACTGCTTATATTGCTTTTGAACAATGCACAATGATCTTTAGAAGACAACTTGTCCTGGCATTATCTTTGTGAAAGTGTAAGACCATTAGAGCCATACTTCAAATAATTCAGCCAGCTCTGCTTTGGAATGCAGCTGTACAATATGCATGAAATTGCTTAATGAAATATTACTGCTAATAACATTTAGAGATACCTCATCAAGGAATCATTCACTAAGAGTGCCTGCTTTCTGCACTGAAATCACCTTACAATACCTAAAACTTAAACCCAAAACATGGTTACTTTTTGAAATTCATCTTGTAAGTTTTCCAGCACGATGTACTTAAATGAGAATGTGGGGGGCAGGAATGCCTTGAATCCTAATTCCATCTGCCAGTCTGGGCCTGGCCTTAGGCAAATTAACCTTTTGCCTCGATTTCTCCACTTGTAAAGCAAAGTTTTTAACACATCCTTATTTACTTCACAAAGCTGTTGACAACTGGTTTCTGGAATGCTGAGAACAACGAATTTCATACCACACTGTGAAGAGCTGACAGAACAGCAGACAAGGAAGGTAAGCAACACACTGCTTTAACTACCAGGTATAGAAAGGGTGCTTTGCAAAGGGAGAGGCAAGCAGAGCACTAGGACAGGTAAGAACCCAAGACAGAAAAGGAAAACAAACAAATAAAATATCCCAAAACACAAAACCCCTTAGGAAAACTACTTTGGAAAGAAAGAAACCCTCAAATCATTTGAACCAAATAAATTTATCTTGTATTACTTAAGGAACTGGCTGAGACAACCTCTGTGCTGACAGCAAGTATTTCTGAGTGCACAGATACTTTCTGATGCCTTCTCCAAAAGGAAAGGAAAGAAAAAAAGGATACTGGAAAAAACAAAACATTCCAACAGTCTCCCTGTAAGCACCTAGCAGATAACAAAACTGAAAATCAATAGGCAATATCTATTTCTGAAGCAGTATCAAATCAACATTATTTTCCTTCTGTTACAAGGTCACAGACACTATGGACAATAAAGAAGGTGCAACAGAATGTTTTTAGCAAAGCTACTGATGCCGCTTCATACAGCTTTTTTACAAGAAAGGAAGGAAAGCATTGTCTCAATGAAGTTACTGTTAGATTCCTCATAATTGACTACAAAACTGTGCTAAGAATGCAGATTAAGTGGAAACCAAAACAATGAGTTAGAAAGATGGGACTTGCAACAAAAAAAAATCAGTATTTAATAAAGAGAAGACTGAAGGGAAATACTCTTCAAATATGCAATATGTTGCTGAAAAAAAAAAAAAGAGTGATATATTACATTGTCTCCAATGTCTTCTGAGGATAGTAAAAGGGGAAAAGAAAGGTAATGGGCTTAAAATTGGAGCCAGGAGATTTAGGCTATCTTTTAGTGAAAGCTTTTAACAAGTATAATTAAGCACTGAAACAGATTGCCTAGGGAGACTGTAGATTCTCCATCATTTAGAGTGCTAAACCACAGGCCAGACACACATTTGTTAGGAATAGATACAACTGGTTTGGCTTTTGGGCAAAGGAATGGACTTCATCTCTGTTTTCTAGATTTCTATGGTAACAGTGCCATACATACAGATAAAGTAAACAGGTTATACAGCTGGAACAATCAAAGTACATTAAATGTGGCCTCATGGGTATCACATAGTTCACAGGAACACCCCAAGTGATTTTTAAGCGTTTTTTTTCTGAAAAATATCCTTTAGAAAAATGCAATGTTGATTATAAATGTGATAATGATGTAAAATCCACTACAACTGCTGGCAAATTGTCACACAGATTAATTATCTGCATGCTTAAATAAGTACTGAAACTTTAAGAACACAAAGATACATTTACCATGTTTTTCCAGATGTAAGAAAACTGATTTTGTTTAAGGACTTAAAACACACTCTTGTTTCATCTCTAACAAACAAATCAACTTCTTGAAACATTAGCTGACAGCTAGAACAGTACAGCTCTTCACCAACAGCGTCGCTCTCCTATAAACAGGGACTTTACTAACAGCAAGTAACTGCATCCCAAAGCTGCCAGCAGCGCTGGGACACTGCACATACCATGGGGTCTGCTGGCTTCTCTTTGCACAGGGCAGTGAGTCCTGCCAGCAGCGTGGGCTTCACATACAGGTTCAGGTAATCCCGAGCTCTTTGTCCAGTGGGAACTGGCTCCAAGATTGCTGCAGGGAGGAACCAAAGGTGTTAGAAAGCAGCCTCTAGAGTGATTAAACACAGCCCTCTTTCAAAGGCTGTTTATATGTGAGCTGCTGTTTTCCTTAGTAAGTTAATGATACACCATGGTTTTATAGCTTCTCCCATAAAGGCAAAGAAACTCCCTAAACTTCTTTACAATGTTCCCAAGCTAATTTTACTAATTATAGTCTATTATGAAAGGGGAAGAAATCAGATCATCTGGGGAAAACCTCAATCCTTGAAGAAGCATTTGGGGTAGAAGAGAAACAAGTGTATCCCCATGTTTAGCACTTTCTTCTTCCAGTGTGAAGCTGGTTTCTGAAGATGCTAAAATCTCACCTTTAGTCCTGCTGTTTGTCAGGGTGGGGAGAAGAGACATGGTTTACACAATAGGTAAGGTCTGTAAGGAACTGCAACATCTTTTATTAAACTCATTGATACAGCTGACAAAAAGTATCACTAGACACCATTGTCTAGCAGTTTCACTTGCATCTTTCTGTCAAAGAGCAAAATACTGTTACATTACAAAACAGATATCCTCTTGCAGACTTTCTAGGTTCTAAGGCCCCTTTCTCTGGCACTTTGGAATTACGCTATCATGTGAGCATCCAGATGCTTTTGAATAGTAATTACTCAGCCTGAATCCAAGAAAAGAGTCAGTCTTCTCAAGTCAACAGGAGTCTCCAAGGCTGACAGTGCCAGAAACACTTGCTGGAGTGTAATAGCTTCCTATTTCTTCTCATTTACCAGCTTTGACTGCTCCAGTTCCTAGAGCAGAGTTTGAAAAGTGGAAGCAATCTCTATAACTACACTGGCTCTTCAGATAGATTTTTGGTAAGCCTTTCATAGCAGAGAATATCAGCTTATACATAAAGAGACCCACAATCCTGTAAAGCAAACAAACCCAACCTCTCATAAATCAATTGTATCTGGAGTCAGAGCAGGACAGGGAAGAACTTCATCCTCCCCAGGACTGGCAATGAACCAACTGTACCATTTTACCTTCTGGAAATATGAATCGAATTTCTTTCTCTGCTGAGGAGGTGTTGAGACTGCCATGGAGTCCATTCCTCAGCTCATCAGTCCCATAGAGTGCTCTTAAGCTGAAAACAAGGGAAATAACTACTTGAAGGGCAACTGCAAATCCCTTCCAAGTCTCTGCAGCCTGAGAGCACAGAAAAGCAATAGATATGGACAAATTAACAAGACATTGGCTTGATTTTGTTTTAAACATATGAAGTAGCTACATAAAACTTAATGTTCATACACTCAACATTCCCCTTAAAATAGGTGAACTTTGCATACTAAAAAACAACAGTGAAAAGCTGTTGCACAAAACTGAAGAGATAAGAAGTCTGTGTCTGTACAAACAAATCACAAAACTGGTCTCAATCAAAAGAATAACAAAATCCTACTGACTTGCCCAGGGCCAGTCAGTGAGTTACCTGTGAGGGTGAGTTATCCTAGCTCTTAGGCTGTTGCTTGGTCCAAGCAATTCCTTCCAGTATGAGACTGCACAATTTCTAGCAAGTACCATAGCAACTATAGGACCAGAACTCATATAGGCTGTTAAATTAGGAAAAAACACTTTTCCAAATTGTTCTGCGTAGAAGTTGCTACATTGCTCAGGGCTTAATTGGAGCTTCCTTTTCTATAAAGTGTAAAGACAAAAAAAAGAATTAAAATTGTTGCTATATTGAAACAGCTTAGAGCATTAAAAGGCAGGATGGAGTCCTTTCCTTAAGTCATATCTCCAAGGGCAGAACACAGAGTAACTTCTGAAACTTCTCTGATTCACCATATATGATCCTCCTTGAGATACAGAGTAACAAACAGCAAAAGTTTTCCAAGTTAACTAGGGAAACAGCCCATTTGAGCAAGATGTGATTTTAGCCCAGGCAAACTACATCATTTCCTAACTGCCAGGTGACAAAGCACTATACAGAAAAAGTGAAGAGCATTATAGGGGCAGGGTTTTATTACTCAGTTGCTACAGCTAATGTTCTACTTTTAAACAAGTTTCTCTCGAGCCCACACTGTTAATTATGCAATTGTTCTATTTTTCATTCAGGGCTTTGTGAGTCTCCCAATAGCTGCCTAGCCTGCAGGTGGCCAGGATCAGGACAACTTTGGGAAGTTATCAGTAACCATAGGGCAGTCAAGAAAAAGTTTCTGAAGTGCATTCTTCGAGCTCAAACTTATACAACACAAGAGTTCTATATACTCAGAGTCCTAATAATTTCAGTGCCAAAAGTCATTGCAGATATCAGAAAACTCTACTAATATATTACAATTAAATAAATAAATATTTTTTCTCATCTATTGATACCTACTGAATCAATAGAAACATGGAATGGTTTTGGTTGAAAGGTGTCTTAAAAATCATCTTGTTTCAAACCCTCTGCCAGAGACTGGGACACTTTCCACTGGACTAGGTTGCTCAAATGGGGAGACTACAGCTTCTCTGGGCAACCTGCGCCACGCCTCACCCTCATGGTGAAGATTTTTTTCCCAATATCCCATCTAACCCTGCCCTCTGGCAGTAGGAAGCCATTTTCCCTTGTCCTCCAAGTCCTTTTCCGAAGTCCCTCTCTAGCTCTCTGGAACCCCTTTGGGCACTGGAAGGGGCTCTCAGGTCTCCCTGGTGCCTTTTGCTCTATCAGATGAACACTCCCAGCTCTCCCAGCCTCCCTTCAGAGCAGAGGGGCTCCAGCCCATGGAGCAGCTTCGTGAACTCTTCTGGAGTAGCTCCAAGAGATCCATAAATAAATAAACAAACACAAATAATAAATGCAAATAAATAAAACAACCAGAAAGGCTAAGGAGGAAGTGAAAAAACCAAGATATTACGGGGAGCAGGGGGAGGGGCTCCTGCCGCCCACAGGCGCGAGGGCGCAGCGCCCCCCAGCGGCCGCCCAGACGGTTACATTTAAATATTCATGAGCCTATTTCAATATTTATAAAGTCTATTTACTGTAGGAACAATGGGAACAAAAAATTAGGCTGCAACTGGCCAGCTATCGAATTCAATTAATTCTCTAATATCCACCTGCACACTGCACAAAATCTTGTGAGATCTGAATGACACACTCTCCAAAGAGTTGCCTTGGAAAGTTCACACATCTGCTCCATACATTTGCTAAATCTGAGTTTATTAACAAAGTGTTTTCCTGTGGACAGAAAAATAGTTGATCTGCTCTGTTCCACCCCATGCATCAAAAAGCATCTCCTTACAGAATCTGACAGAAATGTTTGATGACATGAAGAACATGATTTTTGGACACACAAGCTTTTAGTTACTGGCTTGATTGCTAGAAGTTAAATATTTTCCTGACTTATTAACTACAGCTATTTTCTCTGGAACACAGTCTGTTACCTGAATGATGTGGAATCCTGATCGGAGAATGAGATCCTCTATTTCTTCTTCTTTATCAATGATGTCTGGTTTGATGATAGCCAGAGTTCTTTCCACATAAATCTGAGGTTCAGGCATTAAGACCTCCATTTTGGCTTCTAAATTAGAATTCACTTGCACTTTTTGTACTGCAATGACATCAGTACGTGACATTCGGAGTTTGTCTACTGCACAGTCACCTATGGTGACACTCACCATGTACTCCAGGGACAGAGAGGGTCACATCCACCTCACAAAATCCATGTGAGATGCTCTCTGCACTTGGTAGCACTCTGTTCACGTTCCCATTTTCAGTGCAGTAGCATTTTGTGGAAAAAAAGGCCAAAATTTAATGTTCTTATTCACTGAGTTGGACAATGTATGAGGAAAGACAGGCGTTATCACACACCTTGGTGTGGGCTTCCTGTGCTCCCACACCCTCCATCCACCACAGGCTCCTTCAAACACCAAATCTGTATCCTCACACATGAGGACTGTGGTGTGGGACTAATGATGTGGAGCTGGTCCACCGTAAGCCTCAATGGTTATTTAATTCCAGTATTTATGGGCTCCAGACAAAGTGCTGGTTTTCTGACTGAGCAGATGCACTGGCAAGCTGAGAGGTTGTGTTGTGAGTGGTAAAACTAGTGAGGGGGTTTCCTACAGACCTGTGTCCATTTGTAACCTTCTTTTCACCACAGAATGGTTTGGGTTGGGAGGGACCCTAAAGACCATGCAGGTCCACCCTGCTATGGGCAGGGACACCTTCCACTATCCCAGGTTGCTCCAAGCCTTGGTCCAACCTGGCCTGTCCTTGAACACTCACAGGGATGCAGCAACTACAGCCTCACTGGAGAACCTGTGCCAAGGCCTCACCATCCTCACAACCAAGAATGGCTTCCCAGTATCCCATCTAATCCTGCCCTCTGTCAGTGGGAAGCCATTCTCCTGTCCTTGTCCCAAGTCCCCCTCCAGCTCTTTTGGAGCCCCTTTAGGCACTAGGAAGGGGGTCGAAGGTCTCCACAGAACCTTCTCTTTTCCAGGCTGAACACCCTCAGCTCTCTCAACCTTTTAGAAAGAATTGCGAGCCCAGGATGCTGCGGGGGATCCTGACAGCCTCAGAGAGCTGCACACAATGGCGCCTGTAGCCCTCCCCTCGCCCACCGCCCGCCGTGTCCCCAGGCTCCCAGCCCTGGCTTTCTCCATCTGCTCTGGACCAGACCCAGACACACACAGCCGACCTAACTGCAAAAACCTGCTCCCTGCTGCAAGGTCCGCTCGTAACCCCCCAAATCTACCTGCCTTGGGGCCCGGCCAGGCTTTGCTATCCCGGCCTCCGGGACTCCGCCGGACCCGCCGCGGTTGCCGCGCGATGGCGGGGCCGGCCCGGGGCACAAGATGG